AAAATATATATTTTAGTTAAATGGGATATCTATCTCAACCTTTACATCAAAAACAGATACAGAACTTTTAGCAGCACAACAATTTCTTTCACAAACAAGAAGTAGGAATATCTCAAGAGCAGGTTGGTTGAAAATTAAATAAAATATAGGTTTGATCTCCTACATGTTACAATACAGTAACATGTATGAACATATTGTAGATATATAGTAGACAATGTTTAAGATATTTAAGAGATCATTGACTTATGAGTGAGTCAGTATGAAAATAGAATGAAATATAATAAAAAGATTAAGACAATAAATTATATAAAGTATTATATTCTTTTTTTATTGCTATACTGTATAAAAATAATATTTATAAAAGATATAATGGAGAGCTGCTATTTAGCCTTTTTGTTAATTATATAAAGTCATTCATATTTATTTTTTATTTTTGTATATTTTATTATAATTATTATTTTTGTTTAATTAATTTTTTTTTTCAGTGTTGCAAATTGATCTTCGATCAGAAACACTTGGTAGTTCTGGTGTAAATGTTCCTCCAAGGTCTTCTATTCTAATCAATAATGTTGAATACCATCCAAATATTAATGGACATACAGTAATGGTACTTAGTTATGTTTCAGGATCAGTTCTTGGTATTAAAACATTTCGAACAGATATAAATCAAAATGCAGGAGCTGAATTTCTGAATTATCTAATTAATATTCCTCGTATGTTCATTTATTTATTATTGTTTTTATTATTTATTATTTATGTTTTTTAGTTGTTTATATATTTTAGTCAAATTTTCAATTATTTTGTTTTTTCATTACAGTTAATATATTTATTATGCTAATTATATATTTATTATGCTAATTATATATTTACTATGCTAATTATATATATTTTTAATATATTCTCCTCCCGAAAGTTTGTGAAGGCTACTATAGTTGAGGAGGCGACTGGTTATTTTTTTGTTTTAATTTTTTTCCCTTTTCTCTCTCAACCCATTGACTCTAAAAAATGAGCTTAGACAAAAAAAAAGGTGCTACTTATTTGAATTAACTGATTTTTTGAATATTATTATTTTTATTATTACTATTATTATTTTTACTATTGTTGGTTAGTTATTATTTTTAAATATTAATCATTTATTTTTGTTATACAGAAACAGGTTAATAAAAAAAACGATTAAAAACTTTTTTGTAATACTTTTATATAATTCATCAAAAACTTGTTTTTTTTGTAACACTTTTATATAATTCATTAAAAACTTGTTTTATTATATGAAACACTTTCATATAATTCATCAAAAAGTTCAAAATATTGCAATACTTACACAAAAATATGTTTCATTAAACAAAACAAAAAAACATAATCATAAAAGTTTAAGATCTATTACAATCTAATTCAAAATATGTTTAACAAACTAATAAATTATAAGTTTAGAATTTATAATAATGTAGAAATTATAGTTATATTTTAGAAAAAAATTTGAAACAGGTCAAGTTAATTAACAACTTATGATTATCATTGAGTACTGCAATTTTTTTTTAATTTTAATTGCAAAACAATGTAACATTATTGTCATGTTTTTTTTTCTTTATTAATATAAGTAATGCTTTAAGATTTATTTTTAAAATATACTAATTAATATGATATAATAATAGTTTTCAATTTAAAAATTGATATAAAGTAGTAATATATAATATAATGAAAATTAACTTTATTGTTAAATATTTTAATAATTAATATTTTAATAATTTTAATGTTTAAATAAAAAGAAAAAATTAAAAATATTTTCATGATAGTTTGAAGGAATATCTTTCATAATACATTATTTAAATAACATAAATTCCTTGTACACATCTGAAATACTTAAGATGTCAGCTTAGTTTACTGTAAAAAAAATTTTATCAAATGTTTCACGAAGATTTTAGGGTTTAATCTAATCTGGTAATTTGTTGTCTTATTTACATTTTAAAATTAATTCAGCGAAATATTTTTTAGTTTTGTCAGGAGGAGAACTTGGTTATTTTAAATGATTAAAGATTGGTTTAATTTTAAAAATATAAAATAGTATTTGTTAAAAATATAAACCTTTTCTTAAATTTTAAACCAAAAAAAAGTTTTTTAAATGCCTTAAAGAGATTAAAAAGTGAGTGAAAGGTTAATCCTTCTCAGTTAAGTTATGCTTGACACTGATTTACGCGTATGAAGATTTGTAAAAGTTCAGTCTAATTGCAATTGGTTTTTGCACTAAACTGTTTACTTAAATTGGACAGCAAATATTTACAAGTGGTGGTCAGCACACGCAAATCATTATCCTAACACAACTTCCTAAAATTTTCTTATTTGGAAGTATGTGCAATTTATGAGGAAAAGTGTAAACTTTTTTTATCATTAAATGATGAAATATTTTTATCATAACTTACCACATAGATTTTAAGTATCAAGTGTGCTAATTATTTGTTAAAACTAAAAATTAAAAAAAATAGTTACATGTAATTCTTTTTTATGCATTTTTTTCTTTAAAATCTGGTATTCGGCATTTGGCTAAATACTAAGTAGTAAAAAGTAGTCAAATAAGAGGAATGCCTAATATTCCTGGTATCTCTAGTATATATATATATATATATATATATATATATATATATATATATATATATATATATATATATATATATATATATATATATATATATACATATATATATATATATATATATATATATATATATATATATATATATATATATATATATATATATACATATATATATATATATATATATATACATATATATATATATACATATATATATATATATATATATATATATATATATATATATATATATATACATATATATATATATATATATATATATATATATATATATTTGCATATATGTGCGTATATATATATATATGCATATATATGCATATATATATATATATATGTATATATATATATATGCATATATATGCATATATATGCATATATATGCATATATAAATGCATATATGCATATATATATATATATGCATATATATGCATATATATATATATATGCATATATGTATTTGCGTTCTAAAATCTACAATATATAGAAATTTATTGTATTACACTGTGTATTTTAGCTGATGTCATTGTAATCATTGTGAAACAAGGTGAAGGGAGCATTGCTTCATTTTATCAAGCATCTGTTATCACCCAATTAATTGGATTAGGGGGGCAGGTACCATATTTTAGTGGTAATAGAGGTTCGTATGTTTTATTGGGTTACAAAAAAACAAATACAGACACCTTTCCATGGGTAAGTCAAGATTTAAAGGCAGAAAGACTGGGAATAAGCAAGATTAGTAAATTGGTGTATTTAAAATGTGAGATTTTTTTTATTTTTTTCTAAATTTTTTCTAAAGTCTTTTGCTTAACTTTTTTTAATAATTAAATATTTTAATTATTAATTAAATATTAACTTTTTTAATAGTTTTTAAATTGTTACTTTTAAAGCTACTCTTAATGACTTGATCGAAATGGCAAATAAAACATTCTTGGCAGCTCTTCCACAGTGGGATGAAATTAATAGTTTATTTCCCATCCTTAAGTTGAAAACTAGTGAGTTAGCAGCTGAATCCTCTACAGGTAAGAAAACTAGGTTCTAAGTCACAAGTGCATATGACTTAATAGTTTTTTAATTAGTTTTGCAACATTTTAATAAACTTTATGAAATTTTGAATAAAAAAAAATTTTATTAAAAATTATCCTAATTAAAGTATGTTTTACTCTTGTTTTTTAATATTTGTTTTTAATTTTTCTTTAATTTAAATATTTAAAGCTCCACTTGTTCAGGCAGCACTTGATAGTGCTAATGTAGTTATTTCACAATCAGCAGTTTCAGCTTCAAAGATATTCCAGTTAACACAAAATTTACTTGGTTCAGTTGATGATCTATCCCAAAAGTTCAATTATCTTGCATCTGCTTCAACCAATGTCACCAATGTGATTGCTGAGGGTCAAGAAATTGGTAAAACTTTTAGCTTATTATTTGTGTTTATGAAAATATATACACACTGTATGTTTTAATAATATGCTTTTTTTCCCCCAGTAATATACTTTTTGTTTCCAATAATATACTTTTTATTTCCAATAATATACTTTTTATTTACTAATTTTAGTTATGACAGCTGAATATAAACTCCAATTTCAGCAGAAGAATGTGGGAGATGCACTGAACATCATATCTTCAGCCTCATACAATAGTAAAATAGAACAAAAGCAAAGTGAATTAGATTTTAAGTTGTCTCAGCTTAATACAATTGCATCTAAAATGCCTTTTACAATAAAGTACATGGAGGGTGAGCAATCTAGCTATAAACTTACTATGTTAAACAGTGGTTATACTGAGCAACGAAGGTTCATGACAGTATCATTTGACTTCATTCCATTTAATAATAATGGTATTTTGTGGTTTTTATTGTCTTCGCCTGACTCACTGGTATAAATTTTTTCTCATAGAGTACTGTAAAATATTAGAATTCTTTATATGCTTAATTGTTCCTTATATGGTTAATCATGTTGTTTTGTTCTAAGTAAAAACTTATTTCAAACAAGTTTTTTTTAAAACAAGTATTTGAGCTTTACATGTTTGGATAATATTTGAATGACTTTTATTTTTTCCAAGCAAAATTCAAAGAACTTTTAAGAAAACATAATATATAAATAATATAATGAAGAAAAAAGTCTTTTTCAAACAGAATGGCTTTAAAAAATGTCCCAATTATATATGTATACATCACGGGTACACTGAAGGTGACCTAAGACCTTATATCATATCCTATGAAATTTTTTTTTTTTGATTTTAAAAGTAGTTCAAATTTACATTCCAAAACTATTAAAAAGTAAATCATTCTTTGGTAGCTTTTTGAGAAATCTAAGCTTTAAGACATGTTTTAACTAATGATTAATGCCCCTCTGACCCACCCTGCAAGTGGATTAGATAGTTGTATATAATTTGTTTGGTTGTTTGATCTAGTGGATTGATACTTTGAGGATCATAATTAGAACCAAATTCTGATAATAGATAATTGGACATTCTAGTCAGTACATTGACTAATTTATCACTTTTTAAAGGTTAGCTTTCTTTTTTATTGAAGAGGATAACGTTGGTCTACAAGAATACAAAGCCATATAGAATCATCTTTGGATTTGTAATGAAAAAATTCTAAATTTGGCGTTGTGTTGTCCTACCTTTCGTATTTCCTAATATTGTTTTGATGGACTAATTCCAATACTTGCTTAGTCCAATACTCTAAACCTTAATTGTAAAATATTTAATATTATTATTTTTATATGTTAAAATTTAAAAAGTTATCAGTTAATTTTCTAAATATGCACTTACCAAACTTTCCTCCTTTCATAACAATAAACTCTTCAACGTGATTTAGAGGAATGTTTGAACCAAGATCTCTGGAACTTTGTGAAAATCTTTTAATATAATTAGAGTAGTTTGGATTTAATGTTTTTCCAAAACACCCATAAACAACATCGCTAAAGTCTTTCAAAGCTTTCATTTTTTTGCCACCAATAATACTGTGTTCATCCAGATAAATTTGGAAGCAATCAAGTTTTTTTAAAAACTCGTTGGATCCACTTCCTTCTAACCTGTGTTTAACTTGATAAGGTACTCTGGCAAGATTAATTGTAGATAGATAACTATTTACAAAATTAAATCCTTGATTAGTGTCCTCAAACAAGTTTTTTTCAATTATTTTGAGTAACTTGTCTACTATGCTTAGTATAATATGTACGCCTGTTATATTAAGAATTTCTAGGATCTTCTTTTTTACATTTCCAGTCAATAAAGGAGGATTAACTAAGTTACTAAAATTTTTAGCTTTTGCAATGTTTTCCCTAGCAGCCATCCATTTGTTATACCACTAACACAGAGAAGTTAGAGAATATGACTCAGCTCTCAGCATATTTGGCGATTCTGTTTCACAAAATGGACAAGGATGCTTTGAAGCTGCTGACTGCTTTCAAATCATCAGGAGGAGAACATTTAGATCTTCTGAAATAGAGTAATCCAGGGAATTAAGTTTTAATTTATCCAACAACGTTTTTATGTTTGCATAACATAAAAAGTTTTGTGAACACTAGTGTACTTGAATTCATTAAATCCATACTCATCAGAATATTTCACTCTTTTCAATTGAATGTACTTCTAGCTCTGGCTGTAATTGATAAAGTAACTTTAAGATAGCCTTGCCATCCATCTACCCCAATCTTAACATCAACATTTTCTGGTTCAAGAGATCTATGTCGAAAAAATTGTTGCAATAAACTCATTAACAATATTACAAATTACACCAGGAATAGTTCTTTCAATACACTAAATAATTACAAAACAACTTTAAGCCCAAGGATGATGATTTATTTGAAATTATCAACTTTCAAATTAATCAAATATAAAAATATAAAATTAAAATGTAGCATACAATAATATTTTATTATAATATATTATTTTATAGAGCTTTTTAAGAAGCTGAAAATCTCTAGTTAAAGTAAAACACTATTTATATAAATATATATATATATATATATATATATATATATATATATATATATATATATATATATATATATATATATATATATATATATATATATATATATATATATATATATATATATATATATATATATATATATATATATATATATATATAGTAGAAAATATATATATATATATATATATATATTTATATATATATATATATATATATATATATATATATATATATATATATATATATAGTAGAATATATATATATATATATATATATATATATATATATATATATATATATATATATATATATATATATATATATATATATATATATATATATATATAGTTATACCACTTTTTATTATCTCCAGTATCCTGTTTAAACTGAATCAGCACAAGCTCAGCATTAAACAAAGACAATAGATTTTTGTTTTCCTCTGTTAATTTTTTAGATAGATTTAGATTTTTTAGACAGATTTTGTTCCTCCATTCACTCGGATAAATTGAGCAACTTCTAACACCTTATTTTCATTAGTAAATTTGATTCAATGTTAAAAACAATAAATGTTTTTTTTAAAATAAATTATATTTTATGAATTTAGTAGTAGACAATCTATACCTTGTATGAAGTTTGGTCTGTAGTTGTTTTAATTTTGAGTGCAAAAAGTAAGATGTTTTCGGTTCAACTACTCCAATAGAAACAACAAGTATCTTAGGGCCAAAAGTGTTCAATGTTATTTTTGCATCATGGGTTACTAAATTGTTGATTGTGGTGCATAAAACCTTTTCTTTAGTAAAAGATGAGGTGGATTGTACAATATGCATCAAATTCCTTTGCTTACCTAATTTTGTGCAAGGATGTTTAATATCTTTTTCTATTTGTTGAAAACAACTTCTGCAAAGAACAAGATTTTTTTTTTTTCAAATATGACTTATTTTGATTCATTTAACTTTTTTTATTCATCTAACAGTTTTTTCTAATATATTTAATTGTTAAGAAAAAATCAATAAGTTGTTGAAAAACCTAAAATGTTCTTTAAATGGCCCAGAAAAGTATTGAAATTTTGGATTTATTACTAACTGGCTACTTTGCATTTTTTTAAATTTAGTTTCTTTTTAAAATTTGCCGTGCATTGCCTATTATTGATGTAAACACTAGTTTGTGCCTAAAGTTGTTAAAGTATCTAGGTAACAGAGATGTTAGGTTTGTTGTTTAAAAATGTTTGGTCATTTACTCGCTTATACTATAAATAAACCTTTTGATTTTTAATATATTTTATTAAAATAATGGCACATTGTATTATAATATATGAACAGCATATCTATATATTTTATTGCTAAAAACAGATAATTTGGTATTCTTAAGATTTTTATTTATTTTAGGTTTCCATATCATAATTTCTTTATACTAGTTTTTGTTATGTGATAAATATACCTTAATAAATGTTTTTGAATGTAAAAATTGCCAAATAAATGTGATTAAAATGTTTTGTTGAAATAAAAATATTATCAAATTTAAATGCTAATGATTAATTAATTTCAAGGCTGGCAGTATGGGTATATATATCAAAGATGGCTTTCTTTATTTTACCTACAACCTGGGCAGAGGAGCTATTACAGAGAAAATCCGTGATGTTCGTCTAGGTGAATGGAGTTATATCAATGTTGCTATGATTCTTAAAGATGTCACAGTTGTGTTTAGAGATTCTTATGGTATTTTATTTTTAACTTTTTTTACTAATTTTTTTTTCAGTATACAAGAAAATTTCTACTATATTCTTTATAAAACCATACATTTCGTTAACATGGATTATAAACCACAAATTCTGTTAAGTTCAAAATATATATATCAGTGGCATAACAACTTAAAGCTAATAAATTTAAAAAATATTTATATTTTGAGTTACTTCAGCCATAAAATTTATTTTTTCAGGTTCAACCACTGTCATAAAAATGTCTTCACCATATTATAATGATAAAACTTACATGACATTTGATTCATACAGCATGTGGTATCTCAATGGTTTCCCTGACGATGTTATGGTATGAAAATATTTTCAAAGTTTAAATCATAATCAGTACACAGATAATAATAATAATCATAATAGTTATTATAAATATTATAATTATTAAATTATAATAATTATAAAAAATAATAATCATTATAATAAGAGTTATAATAATAAATATAAGCATTAAAGTATAATATAAGCAATGTAAACAATTGAAATGCTCTACACATAAAGTGCTCCACACATGAGGAGGTAATTTAACTTCTTTTTATGGAGGCAACTCCTTGTTTTTGTAGAACCTTTTTAACAATTTTTTAAGGAAGTATTGACACTTGCGTTGTTATGCAAAAAAATACTTTTTAGAAACTAAATAATAAATATCAAAATATAAAAGTTTTTTCAGAACTTATTTATACTACTTATTCATACTATTTATTAAACAGTTAATGACCCACCAAACAAACCCAACCACACTAACTGGTTAGATTTGATTAATTTGACCCCAAACTTATCAAGTTTAAAAGTTGATATAAAAAAAAAAAAAAATTTCTTTACAAATTTATATCTACCATGAAATGATTGTCATGATATCACGCATCTTAAATTGGTCTGTTATCTATTCTGACCTATTTGATCAGCTTGTATGTTTTTTGTATGTTACACATAAAATATTTTAATGAGTGACATGCAAAAATTTATTTCTGACATTAAAATTAAGATTTGACTTATACACTACTTCTTTGATTTGCATAGCTAAATTAATGTATGTATGTTCTCTACTGTTTGTATTCAATTATTTCATCTTCATCAACTTTGTCATTCTCTTCAAATGATTCTTCATTTTGCAATAGATTTGCAGTTATATAATTAAAAATATTTTGAATTCCAGGGCAACGATTACATCTATGGACCATGCATTCTCTCGACTCTCTACTGCAAACAATTTTCTCAATAAGTTCATGGTAATTCTTTTCCAGTTTAACTGTGCTAAGTATAAGCTTTAGGATTTGGTGTATTATATACAAACATATACAAACAGCATGGGTTCCTTTTTGACAAGCATAAATACACCATTTTGGCTTTAACTGAGCAAATTTAGAAAATTCTATTTTGGACTGAGGATGCTCTAGTTTGAATTCATTAAATATTTCCTTTAAACTGTAAAGAAGTAATTGATTTGATACATGTTTATTTTTGGATACGCTTACAAAATCTTTAACACCTGGCAACTGCCGACTGAACTGATCATTACAATAGAAGCTTTCCACCTTATCAATGATATCTGATTCAGTTTTAACAATGTTTGTTTTTTCTGGAAGTGTTGATGTTCTTTTTTCAAATTTGAGTTTACTTGTTTTATTTATGGTTGACTTTGATGTATTAAATACTTTTAATTTATCAAGCTTTTTTCCTTAAAGACCATGAATCTGGAATGAATCTTTTCTCTTCTGTTTGCCGTTTTCAACTTTTCTTGCATTAAAAGAAAAGTTGAAATCTCCAGTTTTCTTCTGATATTTAATATTGGGCTCCTCAGTAACATCATTCTTCAGGTCATTGAGTTAACATTGAGGATAACTGATAGCTTTATTGACATAACATCAGTAGCTTGCATTAATTTTCTTTTCCCTAGAGATATTTTAGCATTTTGTGGTACTTCATGAAATTTTACTAGTGATACATCTAATTTATCAAAGTTGGTGTTTATAAGTTCTTTTTCTTGTACAATTTCCATACCTTCATCAAAAAATGTTTGTTCTAGAAAATCATCTTTGCCATTGTGGTCCTATAAGGTAGACCAATCATCTATTTTTTTTTTACCACTTCTTTTAGACATCAAAGACGCATTTTAAAATCAGGTGTTGTTTCAATACCAATTAAACACATATCTTTTGCCAGTTGGATATCAATTTCTCGCAAACCACCTAAAAATATATTACAAATGAAAAAAAATTTGCCAAAAAAAGAAATAATAATTTAGATAATTTAATAATTTTAGAAATAAAATTAAAAAATTAAAATTTTTGAAACTAGTTGAAAGTGTACTAGATGTTTTTTTGCAAAAGACAGTATAATAAGTAAAGAACAAATAAATTTACCTTTTGTTTTAGTTTTATGCCTTTTAAATGGGTTGATGCAATTTTTTTTGGAGTTAGCAAACCCATTATGTAAATGGGTTGATGCAATTTTTTTTGGAGTTAGCAAACCCATTATGTAAATGGGTTGATGCAATTTTTTTTGGAGTTAGCAAACCCATTATGTAAATGGGTTGATGCAATTTTTTTTGGAGTTAGCAAACCCATTATGTAAATGGGTTGATGCAATTTTTTTTGGAGTTAGCAAACCCATTATGTAAATGGGTTGATGCAATTTTTTTTGGAGTTAGCAAACCCATTATGTAAATGGGTTGATGCAATTTTTTTTGGAGTTAGCAAACCCATTATGTAAATGGGTTGCTCATGATGTAAACAGATTTTAAAGTTTAATAACCCAAAAAAAAAACCCAAAGAAAAATTTATTTGAATTCAATTTTCTTTAAATAATAGGTTAAATAAGTTTTTTTTTTAATATAAATTTTGATGACTAATGAAAATTGTCAATGTCAATTAATTTAAAAAGAAATTATGAACTCATGCCTATAATACTTTTTTTTTTTTCACATCATACTCCTATATTTTTACATCAAATTTCAAAAAACCCACATCTCAATTTTGTACCAAAACACTCATTAAAATATCTATTTTAATAAAAACAAAAAAATTCACAAAAAATTAATGCTACCATGGTTACCAGGCCATCTTTCTGCCTTTGTTAAAATTTCAAAAATAGCTAAAAGTGAAATACAATCCCTACATTGAAAACAAAAATCATATTCTGACTCATCGTCCTAAAAACTATACTGGTGCTAATTTTCAGCTTAATTACGTGTTTAGTTGAACAGTAATTTGTAAAACAAAAACTATAGCAAAATCAAAATGGCTGCTGAACAAAAAAAACTTCCTCATAGAATACCTCGGAATATCATGGAATATATATATATATATATATATATATATATATATATATATATATATATATATATATATATATATATATATATATATACACACACACACACACATACATGAAATTCTAATGATGATATTTACATGAGAATCTAATGATTTTTCAACTTTTTTGTTTCATTTTTTGATCAAGCCTTAATTTAATTATAGGACAACAACTTAATTTTGAATCTTAAGAATGATTGGTTAAATGTTTAGATACTTTCAAGAATATATTTCATAGATTATTGGAGACTTTAAATCTAAAATTTATGATGTATCTTTACATCTCTTTTACTTTCATTTTGATATTGTTGACATTTTAAGATTATTTTTACCATTTTATATTCAATATTACTATAGCAATTTTTGTTTTACTAATTAAAAAAATATTTTTTTGAATGATGCAGCCAAATAAATAGCCGAATCTCACCATTTATCTTTATGTATATTTTTCTGATGTTAGAAAATGTGAGATAAGATTTTTAATTTTCTTTTGCCAATATAGCATTTGCTGTAGGGGCATTCCATTTCATATACACCTAGATATGAATTTATAAGAAGACAATGTTTATTTTTTATGGTAAGTAAGTAAATTGCAAATTATCAGAGTTCAAAGATTAATATTTTTTAAAAACACTTCTCTGACTGATCTGTTTATTTTTCATGGTAACTATATGTTGCAAGTATATGTAAGTATATGATGCAATTATATGTAAGTATATGTTGCAAGTATATGTACATATAAGTTTCAAATTATCAGAGTTTTTAAAAACACTTCTCAGATGTCTTGAAACTAGAGTCAGGATGCAGAATTTGCAGCTGTAACATTTTTTCATTATTGAAAATACAGTGATCGAAGTTTACTTAGCCGCACACAATTTTTATTCGAAATTTTAATTTTTAAGGAAAATTTATTAGGTAAAAAAGAAAATATGATTTTTATTGTATAGCTTAGTTATTAAGTATTTTATTAATAAAGTATTCATAATAAAAATATATCACATTAAAAATAGAAAAAAATAATAATAAGGAATGCACTTTTCATATGCGAATTTTTGTTAGACGCACTTTTAAAAATTAAATTATGAAAAGGAGAAAAATATTTTTTTTAAATTTTAATATTTGGTGGGTCCTCCGTGGTTCTTAATCACTTCAAAAATTCTATTTGGCATTGAATTAATGAGCAATTTGAGTGTCATTGGTTGAATTTCTTGTCAACACCTATTGACTTCACCTCGAAGCTTTTGAATGCTGCCCATTTTCATAAACCTTTCGAGATAAGATTCCCCAAAGGTTCTCAATTGGATTGAGATCTGGACTATATGCAGGCCATCTCATCACTTTGATGTTTTTGGATTCAAACCATGCCATAGTTTCTCTTAATTTATGAATGGGTGCATTGTTTTATTGGAAAATGACTTGATCTTCCAAGTTCTTTTCCAAAAAATCAATTAAGACATCTTCTAATAAATCTGTATAATTAATGGATTTCATTTTTGTTGACATAAAACATATTGGTGTCTTTCCATTGATACAAAATGCTGCCCATGTCATTAATGATCCACCACCAAAATTGCATGACAAACGAGGTGCATTGTTTTTTCGCAAATCATGCCAGTAATAGCTAAAACCATCTGGTCCATCAAGATTAAACTTTTTTTCGTCAGAAAATACAACATATTTCCACTTTTCTCCAAAATCCATATATTTTCTGGCGAGTTCAAGTCGTGCTTCTTTGCGTATTTGCTTTAAACATGGTTTTTTTAGTGGTTTTCGCCATTTTATATTATCAGATCTTGACAATATTTGATTGTCAAACTTAATTCTGATATGATTTGACTCGCAGTTAACTTTTGTTTTGTCGCTAATTGTCGAATTTGTTCCACGTTCCTTTTCGTTATCTTGTAGTTTTTACGTATTTTTTGATTGACGCCATATACTGACCCAAGTTTCAAAAAGTTTCTAATCACCTTTTCAGATTGTCCAATTTTTCGTCTAATTTCTCTATTAGATAACCCGGAATCCTTATATGCTTTAATTAAACCTTTTTCGTGGTCATTTAAAAATTTTCCATTTTCCAAAAATTTTCCAAAAATGTGCCATTTTACTAAAAATATGAAACATTGAATTTTAAATTTATGAAAAATATTTTTATAAGTCAATTATGAAATTACTTACAATTTAAATTGATTTTTTCAACACCAAAACTAAAAATTATATCTCAAATTTAATAAAACAAAACTGCATCTATACAAATTTCGCACTCAAATAAATCAAATAATTAAATTTTTTTATATAAAGAAATTATAAAAACAATGATATCAATTATCTTTTAATTATCAATTAACAAACAATGGTATAAATATATCACATACAGAAATTTCTTAATAAAACGTTTAATTAAGTCTCTATAATGAAAAATCTGATAAAAATTGTGTGCGGCTAAGAAAATTTCGTTCACTGTATCTTTTGTCAGAAAAAGATATTATATAAATAACATTAATCTTAGTATGCCTCTTTTTAAACAAAACTGATTTTGGCTAAGGTCTCGCATCTAAGGTTTCGCATCTAAAGTCTCGCATCAAATCTGTAATACTTGTTATTATGCAGAATAACAAATATAAAAGATATTAAATAGTTTGTTTCTATTTAGGATAAATTAACCGATACATTTGGCTCAATGAGTGCTGTTTACGATAATATCTTTATTAATGATGTTTACTATAACCCATGGAACACTGATATGTACACCGGAATAATGTCTTATGCAAACTACAGATATAAGTTGGTTACCACTAATGGTAGTTATGTTACTTTATTTGGAACTGGTTACATTAAACATAATGTTGGAGGTTTTATGGTAAATAGAGATTACTCATCAATAAAACTTGAATTCCGCACATTAAGAGATAATGTTGTTATTTTTGGCGTAGTAGGAGTGTCTGGAAATTTTGTATATGGTCTTTATATTTTTGGTGGAAGACTGATGTTTTCATTTGCAACAAGCTTGGGTAATGATATAGCAGTTTTATCTACAAGGTGAAACTTTTTTTTAATCATTTTTTATATGTTAACTTCATGAAATACAGTTAAGCTTTTTTTTATTTAAAATACAAAAATGAAATAAATTAGAAATAAATTAATACAACAGTCTTACACAATATGTTTTAATGTATTAAGTACAGTTGGCAATTACACCTAAATCTGTTGCAATTGCAGTGCAGATTACTGGCTCATTTGTTGCAGTTACTGTACACCATGTATGGTGTGTTATGTTTATTACTTAAGAAAACAGAGTTATGACTCCAGTTAATTAAATTTGTATCATTTGAAATGAAATTTTTCAAACAAACCTAATTTTCACTCGTAATATTTTCTTGGTTTCACCTTCTGATCCAATCATATCTTCAAAATTAAAATAAGTTAAAAAAGATAATAAAAAAAGCTCAGGTCAGGTAATAGTAATGACTCAAAGCACACTATCTGTGCTTTGAGTCAAGTTCTTTAACAAATCTAAAAAATTATTAAATTATTTAAAACTATAAAACACAAAATATTATCGTTATCACCAAGTTCTCTAAATCTATCATTCACTAATATTCATGTTCTTTGAAGTAACTTTTCCTCTGTTGAGTCTTATTACTTGCAAAGTTCACCAAACCTACTTGCTCTTTTTGAGACTAATTTCAGTTTGGATGTCTCATCTTGTGATCATAGTGTTAATGGTTATTTTTCTTTAATTTATAGACTCCAATAGTCACATGTGTAGCGGCCTTTTTCATCAAGGTTTGTGTTTTGGAGTTATAGAGTTAAGAGGCAGTTGTAAGCACAACTTAAGTAGCCTTCATGGCCTTAGGGAGGCAAATTAAGATCTAAAAAAAATTTGAAGGAGGTGAAGGGGTTCTAGTGTCAGTGCAGCTATTAAAGGCCCACTCTGCAGGTGTTAAAGGCCCGCAACTTTTGGCTTTCCCAATCTCTAACAAAATAGTCAACTTTCCAACTCGCTTTCCAGACAATTCAAATCATTTACCTTCTCCACTTAACTTATGTTTTGTTTCTGATCTTCTGATCACGTTTAATCTATCTAAAACTGTTATCTCATACTTCTTCATAATCAGAATCACCATAACTCTGACAATTAACTTAAAGCTGACTAGGGCTCTTTCCGTGATTTTTTTTGTGATGGTCCTTCAGTAGGAATTTTTTGCCTGTTTACTATTGCTAAAAACCATTGTAAAAAGTTTTTATCTTATGCCAAAACCTGCTATTCTCAAGTCACAAAATCTTGTATTTCATCTCAAAAATTAGACTTCAGAGACTTCTGAAGAATCTTTAACAGTGTCTATAATAAAGGGAAGAGCTAAATTGTTCGCTAAGAACTTTTTGTCAATTTCGCCTTTTGATTCCACTAATCACACCCTACTTAACTCAGCCAACAAACAGGTTGATCCCTTGCTTGATATTTGTATCACTCTAGCTTCTGTATCTAAAGTGGTTTCCTGCTTAGACTCTTCTACAGCTTGTCGTTTTGGACAACATTTATTTACCAACTATACCTTAAGAACACTTTAAAGCATACAAAAAGGTTTGCCAACCTTGGTGTATAAGGTAACATTTTTAAGATTATTGAATCCTTCCTTACCAATCGTAGTATAAAAGTAGTCTTTAATGGACAGCACTCTTCTTCGTTTCCTGTAACTTCAGGGGTTACTTAATTTCTATTCTGGACTTTTTTTTAATTTGCATTAAGGATCTCTTAGAAATTCTCACATCTAATGTGGGATTGTTCACAGATGATACTACCATTTATTTTTGTTTTAAAAAGAAGCCAATGCTCTCTGATTGATTGAGAGGGGGGAGCATTGAAGCTGGGTATGGAGGGAGCTTGAAAATGATCTCACTTCTGCTAAAGCATAGAATCTCACTTCTGCTACAGCATGGGGCTCTCAGTGGCTGGTGAACTTTAACTCAGATAAAACATAAACTACTGTTGCCATATCTGAAGTAGATCTTCGAATGATGTTTTTTTTTTTTAAACAAGGTGCAAAATAGTATTGTAAGCACAGTTAGACCTGCAGCCAAACTTCAACCATTGTCACATGGTTGTTATGTTACTTCTCATTCTCTTTTCTAAAAATACTATAATAAATGCTGCTCTAAAGAGTTAGCCTCTCTTGTGCCATCTACTAAAATTCATTCTCCATTTATTTGTTTTCCTGGTTCATATATTTTGCAATCTATTAAGTCTTCTGATAATCTTTATCTTTCTTTATAAACTTCATCTTTTTCTTCCAGTAACTTCTAACTCTAATAGTGGTTGCTTGCAGCTTTGTTAGAAGCGAAAATATTAAAAAAACTTACGCATAATCTCTTTTTTTTTTTTTTCTTTTTTTTTTTTAATTTTTTATTTGTAAGTATATAATAGTCATATTATTAGTTATAAAATATTTTCATTATAAATAAATAAAATAGATATGATTCGTTATAAATAAATAAAATAGATATGATTCGTTATAAATAAATAAAATAGATATGATTTGTTATAAATAAATTTGCAAAATTGTAGTAGGTCTAGAAGATAATTTCCGCAATTTTATTTTACGCTTTTAAAACTATGTGTAACTAGACAAACTAATAAAATAATTTTATTTTACGCTTTTTAAACTATGTGTAACTAGACAAACTAATAAAATAATTTTATTTTACGCTTTTTAAACTATGTGTAACTAGACAAACTAATAAAATAATTTTATTTTACACTTTTTAAACTATGTGTAACTAGACAAACTAATAAAATAATTTTATTTTACGCTTTTTAAACTATGTGTAACTAGACAAACTAATAAAATAATTTTATTTTACGCTTTTTAAACTATGTGTAACTAGACAAACTAATAAAATAATTTTATTTTACGCTTTTTAAACTATGTGTAACTAGACAAACTAATAAAATAATTTTATTTTACGCTTTTTAAACTATGTGTAACTAGACAAACTAATAAAATAATTTTATTTTACGCTTTTTAAACTATGTGTAACTAGACAAACTAATAAAATAATTTTATTTTACGCTTTTTAAACTATGTGTAACTAGACAAACTAATAAAATAATTTTATTTTACGCTTTTTAAACTATGTGTAACTAGACAAACTAATAAAATAATTTTATTTTACGCTTTTTAAACTATGTGTAACTAGACAAACTAATAAAATAATTTTATTTTACACTTTTTAAACTATGTGTAACTAGACAAACTAATAAAATAATTTTATTTGAAATAATTTCCTTTATTAATAACTACATTTTCCCAAAGTTTAGGCAGTTTATGGATTCCATTATAATAAAATTTAAGCTTGGGCAAGCATTTGTGCGCGTCAGTGGCTTTCTTCTTGAGATTGTAATAAAAATAAAAAGAAGAGCTTTCCACAAATGACATTTTTCCGGCACGAAAGTTGACATCTTCTAATCTAAAAAAAACACATACTTATAACATTAACTTTCCCTAGAAAGTCATATATTGATAGAATGGTGATAATACAGATTTCAACTAAAACTCATTAAATAAAAATAATTTTATTTTGAAAAAAACAGAACAACAACAAAAAACGTGGAAATCTATTTCTAGACCTAATATTACTATTAAAAAGTAAAACTGTTTTATGTTTACAATGTCAAATTATTTTTATAACTATTGTTTTTTCTGAACATTTTGCTCATAAATAAATTATCTCTCAAATTAGAAATATATACAACAATGGTGAGTGGTATGTAGTTCAAATTACTCGAAGTGGAGTTAATGCCACATTAAGTGTTAAACCAATGAATCCCTTTTATCAAGTTCTAGCCGAGTCAATTTCAGAATATCTAGGACCTGCTGTTATCCCAACTGGTGTAAACATCATTTTTGGGGCTCCATCTAAAGATAGGTATCAAATAGAGTTAACATACTTATATATTATAGTTAAGTTCCTTCTAAATCTTTGACTTTAATAAAATGTATAAACAATGCACTTTTTTTTACTAGTCAAATTCTTCCAACTGTTTCTGGCATATTTGCTGGAGATATGCGAAATTTAATGATTAGCGGAAGTTCAGGTGATTCTCTAACTAATAGACAGTGGAATGGTGACCATCTTATTGAGCAAAAGGCAACAAGTTATTATGGACAAATTGATGGTCTAGTATGAATCATTTATATAATTTATTTGTTGTTATGGCAAACTTCATATATTTTATTTTTATGCATAAAACTTGAATGGTTATAATTAATATATCAATGTTATCTCGAATTTTTAATAGATTGTTCCTGGTATACGTTTTTATGGTTACATGTGGTGGGAAAAGTCAAGTTCTTATGCAGTACTTAATAGCTTCTTAACAGAGGATATTGTCTCTATATATATGAGCTTCAAAACAATGCAACTAAATGGGTTGATATTATATAGACCTCCAGCGGTAAGTATAAATGTAATGTAATCTTTTAATATATTTATAACAATCTTTTAAGAAGAAAAAATTCACAAAAACATTTAATTTCAGCCTAGTGGATATCATTTTTACATTGGGCTAGTAGCTGGCAACCTTTTTATTGCATTTACATCAGTGACAAACACTTATAGTTATCAACCATTTGTAACAAAAAATAAAACTTTAAGTGATGGGCAATGGCATAACACAAGTGTTGCTTATACACCACAAGGGTAAGTGATTATACATCTTTCTTTTTGTTTTCACACCTCAATAGTAATTAAACGGTTCATTATTATTACCTGTTTAACCAGTGCAAATGCAAAAGAATCAAAAGCACATCACCCATTTATCCAGTGAAAGTTTAAAAAGATCAAAAACACATCAAAAAATTAAATTTAAAACAGAATTTTTTAACAAAGGCTTTTTTATTGGCAAAATAAATAAACAAAATGAAATATGAGTAACTTTTTTTTCCATCACTTTAAAGTAATATTTTCAGAATTTTTCTTTAAAGGAAAACAAGTTGGTGTTTTATTATAGCTAGTTTAATTAGATTCAGTGAAATATATTTAAGTGCATCTGATGAAATGATATACAAAAATTTTACTGTAATTAATTTTTATTACAGCTTTAACTACATAAAATTTTATTGTAAGGTTTATTTTTAATTTAGTTTTCAGGTTCAGGTTGATGGAGAAATTTTGTATCTTGGGTGGTTTGGAAATTCTTTAACACCTAAAATTGGCACGGGAAGTATTTATGTTGGTGGAATTCCTACTGGTGTTTTGGTTGATTTACAACTGCCAACTACAGCTTCATTAGCCATTGATTTTTATACAATCCTTATTAATAGAATGTAAAAATATGACATTAGTTATTTATTTCATATTTGTATATATACAATATATTTATATATGTATGTATGTATGTATGTGTGTATACAACAGTTATTTTTTTGTTATTTTAGTGAACAAAACAAATTTGCAGTCATGTCTAGTGGTGTCTCTTATGCAGGGATTACACCAGGAGTTAACTCACCTCAACCTTTGCCATCTTGTGCCGCTTCGTTTCCTGATTACCTATTTTCTCCAGATCCACTACCAGTACAATTTGGAGCAACCCCTTGGTATGGTTACCAAACATACATTGGTTATCAATTAAGTGAGGAAACCTTACAGAAATATTTTTCTAGCAGGTGCTGTTGTATTTACTTTAATATTTATTATATAATTAGTTTGTAATATCATATATTATAATATATCATATATAATATATATATATATTATATATATATATCATGTATAATATCATATATATTGTATATATCATATATATTATATAATATCATATATATGGTATGTATCATATATATATATATATATATATATATATATATATATATATATATATATATATATATATATATATATATATATATATATATATATATATATATATATATATATATATATATAACGGGTGATGCGTAATTAGTGACACAAAAGTTAACTTAGTTTTGCTCATAATATAATCTTTTTCATTAAACCATATAAATTTATTTTGTTAAATTGAATATTCTAGTTTTATTAACAAAAAAAATGTTAAACAGCCAAGAAAGAGTAGCTCTTCAAAAAAGCGTCAAAAAATTTTTTGTAAAAAACCCAAAAACAACCGAACAAGCCGAAGCCGCTAACAATTTTATTAAAGAAGGAATCGCTCGCAAAACAGCATATAGATATATCAATCGACAGCTTGATGGACAATGTTTAAAAATATAAAAAAGTTCTGGTCGCCCATCATCGTGGACTCAAGAAAAAAAAGCGAAACTTAAAAGGTTGACCAACAATCGAAAAAGTGTAAGTCAAAGAAAGCTCGCACGTAAATTCAACGTAAATCAAGCAACAATTTGTAGACAATTAGCCAAAATGAACATAAAACATCGAAAACGCGAAAAAACACCGAAATACAATGATGAACAACGTCTAAGGGCACAAAAAAGAAGTCGAAAACTCGTCAATCACCTCTACAAAGAACAAAGCGTTTTAATTTTGAACGACGAAAAATACTTTTGTTTTGCTGGCGAAGAAATGCCTGGAAACGCCAGTTATTACATGAACGACAAAATAAAATGTCCAGAAAATGTTTGTTTTGTAGGAAAAGAGAAATTCCTGAAAAAAAATTCTCGTTTGGATCGCATTATCTGAGCGTGGAATGTCGAAACCATTCTTCCGGTTGTCAACCTCGGCTGCAATAAAATCCAAAATTTATATCAAAGAATGCTTAGAGGAACAATTGTTGCCATTCATAGATAAGTATCACGATGATTTAAATTACATATTTTGGCCGCATTTAGCTAGTGCCCATAGAGCTAAAGAGGCAATATCGTGGATGAATGAAATGATTAACTTCGTGCCGGTCGATATGAACCATTCTAATGTCCCCAAAGCCAGGCCAATCGAAGACTTTTGGGGAGTATTGGCTCAGAATGTGTATGAGGGTGGATGGGAGGCCAAAAGTGAACAACAACTGATTCGGCGTATCAAACCCTGTCTGAAAAAAATTGATTTGACATTTTCACAATCCCTTATGAAGGGTATCAAAACTAAATTGAGATTAATAGCCAATCAAGGCGTTCAATCGATTTACAAAAAATAATTTTTAAAAAATAATTATTGTGTTATTATTTTTTTAAAATGAAAAATTTTTTTTCTTTTAATTCTTTAAAAATATATTTGATTTTTGTGTCACTAATTATGCATCACCTGTTATATATATATGTATGTCGCGTGTGTTGTATATGGTGTCGTGTGGTGTGTGGTGTCATGTATCGTACATATCATATATAATATCATATATCGTAAATATCATCTATAGTATCATTATATAATCAACATGATTATTATACGATATATTATAATATTGTATAATAATGTTGATTATATATGTAATTATGTAACTATCATAAATAAATGTTGTAATTAAAATGTATGAATATATGATTATTCTTTTAATTTGGTAATTTAACTTATTAAAATCATTCAATTTATTCTTATTTAATTATTTATTTACAATTTATTTAGTTTTGTAATTACGATGACTTTTAAAGCTATGCTTCCAGATGGCATCATGTTTTATATTGCAGACAGTGAGACAAACCCAACACAGTATGTATCTTTAGAATTAATAGGTGGTCAACTCAGATATGAGTTTTTCAATGGTAATGAGAAAGTTTCAATAAATACAGAAAACATGACCAGCTACTCAAACAATGGTAAAGTATATAAGGTACTGATTTTTATAAAAAATTTATAATATTATAAATTTTTAAGATTTTTATAATATTTTAATTCTAAGATATGTTTTAGGTATATCTACTGCGTATTTATCAATTTGGTGCCATGCTTATCCCTGATACTATGGAATACAAAAATGCTCGCCAAAGCAATGCAGCATCTATAATGACTTTAAAAACACCCTTATATATTGGTGGTTTACCAAACACCATTAATGCACCAAATTTTGTAAGGAGAAAGTATGGGTTTTCTGGTTGCTTTCAAAAGTTTGAAATATCTTCTGGAATGGAAACATACCCTATCGATTTTACAAATCCAGACCTTGGAGGGACACCAACTGGAACACTTCCATGCTATTCTAACACTGAACCTGGCGTTTACTTTAATGGCAATGACTCCTGGGTTTTATATGGTACTTAACTATGGAAATGTTTTATTTTACGAATAAAAATGCTTTTATCCTTACTATTTATCCTTACCTTTTATCCTTACCTTCAATCCTTACCATCTATCCTTATCTTCTATTTTTACCATCTATCTTTACTATTATCCTTAACTTCTATACTTACCCTTTAACCTTACCTTTTGAAATTATATAATTTAAAGCATCTCACATTTTTTAAAGTTTTTAAATATAATTCAAGTTGGTATTATTTCCAGTTAAAATATGGTTCTTTAATTGTTACATATGTTGTACATGTTACTATTGTTTTTTGTTTTGTTTTGTTTTGTTTAATTTTATTACATTACTTTTTTTTTTTAGATTCAACGTTTCAGCTTGAAATAAATTTTGATATTGAAATGCAGTTTCGAACGTATGAACGTTCTGGATTGCTTTTTTACGCCTACTCCAAACAAACTCCTCAGGGTGTTGGTAAAGACATATTAATTTTATTATTTTAATATACTTTTTTTCAAAAACAAAAAAGTGGTTTACTATATAAAAGTACAATTTTTAACTAGTTAAAAAGTTAAACATTTAACTAGCTACGCATGGCGTAGTAATTTACAATGTTTTTTAGGAAATTCAATTTATGTTTCATGATAAAGTATCTAAAAATAAATGTTGTATACATGCATTACAATAAAAAAAAATTTTTAATTAAAAAACCTAAAATGGACTTTAGGGGCCCATTGAATCCATTTAATAATAAAAAATTTATAAATGAGACGAGTTTTATTCAAAAATGATTAGTACTAATTTTTTGTTAATTATTCATATTAAAGATTGTCACTTTGAGTAACTGAGTCAAAATTTATAATGTGTCTATAGTAAATTTTTTAGGCTAATATTATTTTTAGTTAGGTTTGTTCCACAATACTTTAGTGCAGAACATTGCTTTTCTATTGGGAATTTTATCAGTTTCTTTAAAGGAGTGTAGTCTATTGCTTGCTTTCTCAAGCTTTTTTTTTTTTCTTCTAATGGTCATTTTTTTCTAATAAAAACCTTTTGTTATTTTTAATGACAATTTTATTGTTTTTGGCTTTTGCTTAGCTTCCAAACCATTTTTTTAAGAGATACTTGTAAAAAAAAAGTGAAGATTTTTTTTTTTTTTTTTTGGTTGAGTAGTAATATTAGGTGAAACTTCTTCTACTGAAAAAAGATTTTAGTCTGATATTGTTGGTGGCACAACAAGATAAAAAGTTTTTTCTCATCTTGGGAAATGTCTAGAATTTGCAGTGGTGTAATCAATAATGATTGCTCAGGTACATCTGGTTGTGTTTTTTTTTATTTACCAGCAACTGCAAATAAATATCATTCGGAATTGCTGAAGTAAAACTGTTGTCTATAAATGCATTTTGATTGAGTGGTATAATGACAGTGTTAACAGATCTGTGCTGTCACCAGTGATTAGAATTTTTGATTAGAATAGATAACATGATAAATTTGATTTGGAAAAAAAGTTTTTCAACACTAACTTGATTTAAGCCTTGTGTTCTTGCTGAAAATATTGGCTCTGGCATTCTCATAGACAGTTCTGTGTGTTGAGCTAAAAACCTAACAACCCAATTAGCTTTTATGGACATTGTTGAGTTGAGCAAATTGGTAGACATATCTACACAGAACCTAAGTAAAAGTATCTGCCATACAGTGAAAAATATTTTCCCCTATTTGTCTAATATAAGTTGCCAGTTCCATTTCAACAGAAATCACATATTTTGTTGATTCAAGTGGCTTCAATGGGGGAGGGTTCAATGGGGCTTGGACAGGGTTCAAATTTTTGAAAAATCTACAACTGGTTTTGAACCAGTTGTAGATTTTTCATAAAATAAAATGCAATACACAAGGATAAAATAGCTTTCACATTCTGTCAAATATTACATTCTGTCAAATACAAAGCAAACGTGTATTGTATTTAATACACTTATCATGGAAATGGAAATTATGGGAATGTCATGAAATTTTATTTAGTCATTGAAAAAGTCATGAAGTTCCTACAGATTCATTAAAAGTCTTGAAAAAATTTTCAAAATGAATTTTATTTGTTCTACTAGCGGTCTTTTTAAGATATTTGTAAACCAAAGTACTAGTACATCCAGTCTAAGACCTTTACATCCAGTCTAAAACCTTTTTGAAAAAGATATTTTTTTCAGGCCAAATTTTGCAACTTTTTAGCAATTACTTTTAGCCTGCATATTTTTAATGACCAAATGGAAATGGCTAAGTACATGGCAAGCATTGAATATTTTACCCTAGTAATTTATCATGAAATTTATATTGAGTCATAGAAAAGTCAATAATAGTCATCAAGTTTCTTTTTCTCAAATTTGAATGGCCATCCTGTAATAACAAAAAATTTGTATTCAGTATACCAAATAGGTCTTAGCTATAAATGGTATAATATTTAAATGAAATAATGACTTCAAGTATTTTTTAAAAGCCCAAAAAGTGATCAATTTTATCTTGCAGGGTAAAAATTAATCATAAAAATAATTGAAAAATCAGCCTTTGAGGTGAAACTGATCAAGTTTTATGCTTTTCAAAAAATTGTAGGCTATATATATATATATATATATATATATATATATATATATATATATATATATATATATATATATATATATATATATATATATATATATATATTTATATTCTTATATTTTCTGCACACTGTTTAACTCATTTCTCTAAAGGTTAAATTTTTATTCCTTTTTTTACTTTTTGTTAATTAAGAGATTAAATAATAAAAGAAGCAGGAATTGTGTCTAAATAGTTTTCATCAGGAAATTGAAACATAGTTTCAATTTTTTGATGTTTACAAACAAAGTTTGTGAACAAGCAGAGTGCTCACCACTCTGCTTGTTCACAAACTTTGTGATCTGCTCAATATAGTTCTAGGTGATGTTTTTGTTCTTCTCTGGGTATGTGACTTGTTTTTGTTGTTCTCTGGGTATGCAGTCTTCACTTTGTTTTACATGATTGTCATTTGAAGAATCTTCAGGCTGTTGTTGAGTTTGTGTCACTAATCAGACTCATTTCACTTCATTTGAAGAAGATCAGATTTACTGATCTTCTTCAAGACCATAGTTGTCACTTTTTCTGCACCAGTTTCCATATCAGTCATTATTGTTGGTTTTCCTGGTATAATTAATTATTATTCCCCTCATTATTTGTTTTTCCCCATCTTTTCCACAATGTTTCATTAAAGTGGTTTCTATTGCATTTCAAAAACAGTTGTAATGGTGCCTCCACCAACATCATGATTCTTCTAAGGAATGCATCTGATTCCTATCAAAAGGTAAAATACTGGTCACTCTGAATCCAGATGTCTATGTTCAATAAATATATATAATGTCAATTATATGTCATATTTATGTCAAAAGGAATCATACTGGTCCAACTAAATCCGTAAGTCTGGATTCAATTTATATGTAACGTCTAAAAGTACAGTTGTAGGTGTCAATTTGATAAAACTCACGAGGACTCGCAAGTACTCCACTAGTTGGTTGTGCCCTGGCACTAAATCACAACCCCAACCATAAAAGAAGTATTTTACAGGCTAAAATGCAACTCAAAACAAAAAAACTCAAAACATTCAAAAAATGCTGAATAAATATGTATAAGAGTTTTATCAAATTACCTGTAAATCCACTATTAGTAATTTTTTATACTTTGTTTATATATATATATATATATATATATATATATATATATATATATATATATATATATATATATATATATATATATACCCCACTTTGCCTCACATAAAATTTTGAGCATAGGTTTTGAATCTGTGAAAAAATCATCATTGTTTGTAAACAACTTTGACTTTTATAGTTTGATTTAAATTTAAAATGATTAGTTAGTTTAAATTTAAAATGATCAGTTAAATTTAAAATGATCAGTTAGTTTATTATTTGTGAATTGTGAATCACTGTCCTGCCTAATCCTGAACTGCAAGTTATGATTTTTTAATTTTTTATTGTCTTAATGGTGGTTTGTGACTATTATTTGTATTTTTGCTTGTTATTTTATTATTTTATTTCATTTTGTATTGATTAATTTTTACAGTTTCGAGAAAATTGTGATTATTTACAAAAAATTGTATTTATAAGCAGTTACAAAAAATAACAAATAGTTACAAATATTTGAAAAAGTTTTATGCTCCATTAGAAACAAATAGTAAATTAGATTTATCAAAAATAACAAAAATCCTAAGAGCTGTCACAAATATTATAGGTAAATTCCTAGGAAACTGGAATGGGACTTCAGTCATTCACCATCAACCACTAGATCTCACCAACCACAGTAGGCCAGAATAGTCAATTTTAAGACAAAATTAATAACTAGTTGTTATTAGTACTGTATTTACCAAATTTAGCAAGAGTACCAAAATGAGGTTTGCACTTCTTTTGAAAATGCTAATTTTTACATTTAATTGCTATGGATGCCTAATTTTGCATAGCAACAACCTATTTTTAGATTTTTCATTAATGCTACATTTACAGAATTTGACATGAGTTCAAATATAAGATGTAGGCTTCAATTAAATATAAAAATATTTTTTATATTTAATTGCTATGGATACCTAAGTTTGCATAGCAACAACCTGTTTCTGGTAGTTAGAGATTTTTTATTTGTGCTACATACACTATACTTGCCATGTGTAATAATATGAGGTATTTGCTTCTATAAAAATAGTTTTTTTATTTGGTTACTATAGTTACTTAATTTTGCATAGAAAAATTAGGTGGTATGTCACCTATGGTTAACTAATTTTGCATAGCAAAACTAAGTAACCTTAGCATTGTTACCTTAACATTACTATTGTTAGCGCTCCCACTACCACTTGCTCTTGGTTGATCTTTAAATCCAAGAGCATATTCTTAATTAAACTCTTTTGCTCAATTACTGAGCTCAATTACTGAGCTCATCTTGGCTTCAAAAGATCTTGCCAAGATTAAATTTTTTTTTATACGCAATATGATAAATATTTTTTATATGCAATAAACATTCAAAGCACCTTATCCAAGCATGCAAACTTGGATAAGGTGCTTTGAATCAAAAAGTAAGACCATACTGGAGGCTGTGAGTAGAATGCTTTTTTTTAATAACAATTTTAATGTCATTCATGATGGGTTACATCCATTGTGTTGGGTAAGTGTGCACTTTTCCATCAATAATAGTGATTTTGATATAGTTTGTAATAGCTATTTTGTGCCCTTCAAAAACAACAATTGATAGAATTAAATTTGCCATTTTATTTTTAAGTTTACTTTCTTCATCAATCAACACAGATTTAGTTTTCTTTTTAAACTCAAAACTCAAAGACAATAAATGGTTGGCGATTGCTTTAAGTTTAAAATAACTTTTTTTTCATCTATACTTGTAAATAGTTCTAAATTACAAGAACTGCTTTTGATAATTTTTGCTTATAAATGCTTTGACTAATTGAGCCATCAAATCCAGTTTTGTAATGTGTCATTATAACTACTCTTAGCTGAATAATCACTAACAATTATGTTATTAGAATAGCATAGTTCTTTTGCAGCTCTGATGTTATATAGTATGGAAGACTCCTCATGCATAGAAAACTGATTATTTCTGATACATTTCAAAATATTTCATTTTACATCTAAAAAAATGTAAACAATATCACTCGAATTAAAATAAGTAAATACAATTTAAAAACAAAAGTAACCCTAACTTAAGTGACAACTCTAACATTAGTTATTTTCATAGGAAGGAGGATGCAGTAGAGATGGAGGGAGACTTCTTCAGCTCTCTGAACAAATTGTTTTTCAGTGTTTCCGTCATTGCTTGTTCCAAACCCACCCAATTTTAGCGAGTAAACAACAATTCCAACTTCATTTCTTAGTCTTGCCTGAATTACCTTTTTTTTTTCAGCTACAAAAGCCTTATTTACATCATTTCGAGCTATTTTTTTATTTCAAGCTTGTAGTTAATGTGTAAGCAACATTCTGATAGTAAGCACCTGATATTTACTTAGATACCTGACACAGGTTTCAGTATTTCTTCATTATAAATAAAACAGTATGTAATTTTGCATTATAAATAATACAGTATGTAATTCACTGAACAAGACTTTGTCTTGTTCAGTGTTACTGTAGTTTTGTTGATCTTCATTAAACAAAGCTTTATAAACAATATCACAATTTTTGCCTAAAAATTGAACTTTCTTTTCAATTTTTGAAAAGAAAGTTCATTGATGACTGAAAACTAATTCTGAAATGTAATGATGTAATGACATATAAAGCACCTTAATATCGTCAATAAATATTTGTAATATATATATATATTTATATACACATATATATATATATATATATATATATATATATATATATATATATATATATATATATATATATATATATATATATATATTGTTAATTTGCCTCCTCAAGGCTGAGAAGGCCACTACAGACAAGGAGGGTACTTAATAGTGGTTGTAACCCTCTTTCAACTCTATAACACAAACCTTGACAAACAAGGTCGCTGCGCAAGTTGAGCACGGTACTACCAGGGACGTGGTGGCGATTGAACTCAGAACCTCTATGATATAGTTTTAAAATATTATTTTACCAAGTATTTGTCAAACATTATAATGCTTAATATTAGTCAGAGAAAGAAAAGCAGACCAACTTTATTTACAATTAATATATTCATGTTTAAGTCTTAAAAAATGTTGTCAGTTTACTGACAATTTTTGATATAAAATAAATCTGACAAAATAATTTAAAAATTTCTATATTTTATCTTTTTGATATAGCAACTTGATTGACAAAATTAGACTATTATACCCTAATAAATATTTGTAAATTGTAGAAATCGAAAACTAATAGGCTTATTAAAAAAATATATAACATATTTTTTTGTACTCAAATAAATATGATATTTTATTGTTCTACAACCTTTATAGTACAATAAAAGTATTAATTTCCTGTGCATAATTAATGCTGCATAATGTTACTGTTTAGCATCATTCCATTAAACTTTTTTTTTTGTACTTTTTTCACAGTCTGACCCACTGTGCAGCCCACTGTGATACTGGGGATCCAAACATCAGTGTAATACATCTACATCAAATACTTGATCAAATACTGCTGCTACAGTGGTTACTGATGCACCTGACAATATTTATATTAGTAGCTTTCTCAAAACAAGATAGGCTTATTGACTCTTATCTTTTGCATAAAGATCATTTGAACACTAAAATTTTTGAAGCTATTGACAGAATCATTAAAATTGGCCCTGGACAAGGTTAGGCAACTAACAAAAGAAGTTTACTCGCAGCAATTGTACAAGAGTGTATCAAGTTGAAGATTAGATCAATCAAAGTCAGCTAGCCAGTAATGACAAGATGGAACACAATATTGTGCTTGAGCCAATCCCTAAACTCAAAAAGCTTTTACAAAGTTTGAGAGGCGCCAAAAAGCTATATGTTTTGAGTATTGTTAAAAATATTCAACCTGAAAGTTGCATTAAAACTGTTTAATGCAATTGTCAGTAGAGACCTATCAATTGTTGAGTTCATGACATCAAGGAGATCTATTAATTATTGAGTTCATGACATCAGAGACCTATCAATTGTTGAGTTCATGAGTTCATCTAGAAACTAAATTAAAAAAATGGATAGAACAAACTTTAAACCGATGCGAAAATGTTTTATGAACAGTAAAAACCCTCTTATTTGTGTTACTTCACTTCCCTAACAGAGAAGATAACTACAGTCAAGGAGGCTACTTTAGTTGTGGTCACGACCTCTCTCAACTCTATAACTTTAAAACATGAATCTTGATGAGCAAAGAGCTACTGCACGGAGAAATAAGTTTAGCGCGGTACTACCAGGGATGTAGTAGGGGACCGAACTCGGAAATTCTTGCTTAAGAGGCGAGTGCTCTACCGCTACACAGCGCATAAAAACTTATTAAAGGAATTAAACTGTAGAGTTTATTAAAAAATATATAGTTTTTGATGAAGGTGTTAAAGAATCTGGTTTAATACCTATTCCAGCTCTGACTCTGGTATCTTCTCAAAAGTGGTTTAAGCAGTAATAGTATTTCGTTTTCTAGATTTATTCACCTCCATGTTAAAAAAAAAAAAAAATTAAAATCAGACATCCTAGAGATTCAATTCGTTTGCAGAAAGTAATAATAGTTAATTTAGTTTAATTTATAATTTTGTAGGTTTTTTTTTTGTTTGTTTTGGATTGAATTGTGTATTGTGAATTAACTTATGAATTTGAAAGAAATCTTAAAAAAAATTGTATAATCTCGTAATTTTTTGGACAGTTGCGAAAAATATTAGTTAATTTTTTGTAATTTTTATAACTTTTATAAAAATTTAAAGACGTAATTTCTCCTAACAGATTTTTTGCCTAATTTTTTATCTTTTATAAATAACACATGACGTCTGAAAGACATCTTTTAGACGAAATGTGTTTGTGGGTTCATCAATTTTTTTTTTTTTGTTATAAAATTTGTTTATTTATAGGAGGTGATTATGGCGCTTATGCATTACTTGAACTTGTAGATGGAAAGGTAATTTTTAAAAAAAGTTTATGTATATTGCAGTTTATAGGGCGTTTTTAAGGTGACCATATTCTGATCACATCTTATTTTTATTTTGAAGTGTGATTGTTATAAAATATAGCCAAATTGTCGTATAAGTTTTGTGTTGTTTGTTGTTGTCAATATTTTTGTGTTAATATATTTGTTGTTGTCAATATTTTTGTGTTATTTGTTGTTGTCTATAATGTAACTAGTTCATTGTTTGAACTCGTTACATAATAGTTTGTAATTACGTTGTTGCAAATTTTTATAAGTTAATTTATGTTTATTTCTTACTTTTAAACCTATTTGTGTACGTACTTATATATTTTAAAAACTGCACGTTTTCTGGGTTTTTTAATTAAGATTGTTTTCCGCTACAAAGCGAATTTGTTTAAAAGTGGGCAAAGCATTGAATGGAGTGACAAAAAAGTTGATACATCTTTTTATCTTTGCGATCAAAAGTGGCACACAGTAAGATTATCTAAATCTGGTCAAGATGTGACTATCGAAGTTGATAAAAATGTCGTCTATGGTAGTTTAGATACCTCAAATAGTGGATCAATTAACGGTGTCGCATATATAGGCGGCGTTAAAAGTAAGCTTCATTTTTCTTACGTTTATGAAATTTAAAAAAAAAGAAGATGATTTACATTGATTTTAAATCTGTTTATTTTAGACGGCATTTTTAAACCTGGTTCTTTTTCACGCTATTTTGACGGATGCTTAAAGATAATATCACTGAATAAAAGAACTGACGACATTCATACAAGTGAAGATGGTAACAACATCGTGTTTGGCTGCGCTACGTTTTAACTTGGTTTTAGGATAAAAAATTTCAGAGCAATATAAGATGTGATAGTTGAACTGTCGAGGAATTACGTTCTAAAAAATTGGTTAGATGGAAAACCTACTTCATTTGAGTGGTTAACCTATATAATTGCTTAGATGCAAAACCCACTTGATTAGTTAGATTTAGTAGATCTGCTTCATAGCTTTGTTGTTCAAATCAGCATGAAGAATCTTAGCAAATTAACTCGAAAAGTAAAATTAGTTATAATTAAAAATATAATATATAATTAACAATAAAAATATAGTTTAAATATCTACTCTAGTTTTTCTTTTTCTTTTTGTCTTTTTTTTTTTAAACACCACCAATTTTTTTAAACACCACCAATTTTTTCAAATCCGTTATACTACTCTCAATGTTTTTATACCGGAGCACTGAGAGGGGGTGGGGGTGAAAAGGACAATTTTGTCCAAAGCAGCAGATGTCCGAGGGACGCAAGATAAAAAGAAGAAAAAAAAATGTCCTATACTGGTAACATAAGGAAATTTAGAAAAATAGAATTGCTTATTATAAATTTAGAAAAATCTGGGTTGCTTTCCCAGGCGGTGTAAAGGTTCTCGGTCCTTTTTAAATGTCTGTATATATAGTACATATATATATATATATATATATATATATATATATATATATATATATATATATATATATATATATATATATATATATCATACCACGCCCCTAAGAGCGCAGAAGCCGTAAAAACTGTATATATATATACATGGGTGCCCACAGGATTTTTTGATGTTTCGAACATGGCGCTTTCACGTGTTGTGCTAACTGCAAACTTAAGTATGTTCATGCGTATGCCAAATAAAATGGCTTTGCAAAAAATCGCGATGATTAAGACCTGGGAACAAAAATACCCAAAAATTTTGGCCACTACAAAAACGTGAGGGCAGTTAATTAGTAAAATTTTCAACTTTACTACCTTATTTATGTACTAAACTTCTTTGATAATGTGAATATAAGGTTCAATAAATTCAATTATATTAACATATTTTTGTGTATATATGAAGAACCTAGGTATAAAATACATCATACATTAGTACATCAAGAGCAACTTGGCCTCCTCGGGTTGACTTTTCCCTGACTTCTCCTTATTCTGGACACCTTAGTAACGTAGCGTAATTTTTTTTAAGGTGATAGACTACTAAAAAAATATTTTTTGTATTTAACATTATTTAGATTGATTTTTTTCCTTCGAACGCAATAAAGGCATTAAAAAAAAAGTTTTACTTTTTATTTTTTTTAATAATTTTTGGGTAAAAACAGGTGGTTTTAGGTCAAAAATATGCAAAGATCTTGGCAAAGATATCTCAAAAAGTAAAATAAATTTTGTTTTAATATTTTGCAGTTTCATTATTTATATGTAGATTTATGTCCTGAGATAAAATAAAAAAAATCAGAATTTTTTTTTTTATTCATAAGATTTTTTAACACGTACCAAATTTCGGACCAAAAATACAGTTTTTCAAAAATTTACATTCTTAATATTTTACCTCAGGACATTAAGCTCATTAAAATGAACATTTGTACAAAATTTCAAGTCAATTGGGCAAACACAACTCCTGTAATATTTGACAGAAGATGAAAAATTATAAAACAGAGAAAAATGCAAATAAAACTTTAAATATTGAATACATAAAATCTCCCTTTTTCATATACTGTTCCCTCTTCATCGTTATATTTGAGTGTTAAGAATTTGTAAAAAGTGGTAAACAATCCATGTTTTCTAACCTCAATTTGCCGTTGCTATGAGTGTTGCTAGGGAAAACAAAATTACCCTGCAAAAATAAATATGTTTTTTCAGGTTTTTAAAAATTTTGCACATATGAAGATATCTTAAGACTCTACAATAATTACTGTTTAATATAATGCAACTTTTGAAAAATTGATTTTTTCTAATTTTTTTAGTAGTCTACCACCTTAATCTCTAATTTTAATTTTTTAATCTCCTTTTTTTAATCTCTGTTGTTTTAATCATTAAAACATTAATATTAGGGTGTGTGAAATTTTTCACAATTAATTTACTGTTTTCCCATTTTATGGGCGTTATTTAAATGAACAAAATACATTTGACACATAAAAACATTTCCTAAATGAAAACGGCATTTTAGAAAAATTATTTAGACGATATTAAAACTAAATTTATTATCAAGAAAATAAAAGTCTTTAACAGAACCACGATAAAAATAAGTTATAGCTGTATGCCAAATATGAAATCTTTTTTAAATGCACACAAATTATGAACAACAAAAAAGTTCCACCTTAAACTGCAACAAACTACAACTGCAAATTCCTTAATAAAAATACCTGCCCTTTATCAAGCCAATGCTTAACAAAAAACATTGTATACCAAGCCAATATAAGTTCCAATAATCCTACTAACACTCCTGTCAACAAACCCTACATCGGTATTAGTGAAATGCCATTCAAAATTAGATATACCAACCATATAAAATCATTTAACATTCTAAAATACAAAAATGACACCGAACTATCAAAAGAATTTTGGAAATTAAAAGATCTCAACTTAAACCCAGTTGTTAAATGGAAAATAATTAGGCAGTGCAATGCTTACAACCCAACCACGAAGTCCTGCAAACTATGCACAAACGAAATTCTATTTTCCAAAAATAAAAATCTGCTAAACAAAAAAAGTGAAATGGTATCCAAGTGCAGGCATCAAAACAAGTTTCTTCTCGCCAATTCGACACGGGTGGTTGAGCAATTTTCTAATTAATTAAAATATTGTTTATTTTGACGTCAGAACTCATACGATTGCTTTGTTATGGTTTTTTCTGTTAACTTCTGTATTTTGTATTTTTTTAACGTTTTTTCTTAAAATATGGCTTCTCACACAATGACACCATCATTTGGCTATCTAAATTCTTCTACACAATCTTTTGGACAATCTTGAAGTGCATTTGGATGTACCTAGTGCAATCATATTCTTATTATTTTCGTTTACTTATTAATTAATTAACAATTAAGATCAGTGTAACTGATAGATTTGAGTAACAAGAATCAGTGATCGAGTCAGATGCGAGACGTATTTATTTATTAAGAATACTATGATATTATTGTTTTCGCTTGAATCATCCGGTTCAGAAGAATTAGTACTTTAATTCCAGCCATAAAGACCATAACTTAAAAAAGTTAAAAACTTGTGTTTATTTATTTTTGTTTTTCCTAAAATCTAAACTAAGATCAAAGTTCTTCAACAGCGGTTCTCGGAGACAAGACCTGTATGGTCTTCTTTTAGTATCCGCGTTCTTTATCTTAATTCTTTATTTTTCTGTAACGATTTTTTTGCATGTAAATTTTTCTTATTATATATTTGTAAATATTGTATTAAATATTGTAATAAAGAACAAAAAAAAAAAAAAAAAAAAAAATTCAATCAGCAGCCATTTTGAATAGAAATTTACTGGTAGTAATTTTTAAGCCTTTTTTTTTTCATTTCTTTTCATAATATTATAATGTAATTGTTATATTATTTATCGTTATTTATCTCTTAATTACGAATATAACCACAATTTGTTGTAATTATTACAATTTGTTGTAATTATTACAATTTATTGTAATTATTACAATTTGTTACTGTTACTTTACTTTATATAATACGTAAGAAAACATTACTTATTAGTTTGTTTGTGATTTATTACTAATGTTTTCTCGTTTATTATATATATTATACAATATAATAAATATATTAACGAAATTTTTAAATTAAATTAATCATCAACAAGATAACTTTACAGACAAATATTTTTAAATTTATTCCTTTAAGTAAATCAAATTTAGTAGGGTTACTCGGGGTTATTCCAAACAAAAATATCATTTTAGGCTTTGTAACTGTTTTGTTTTTTGCTATAATTATTTATATAATTCACTACTTTACTTATTATGTATATTAGCTATTACCCATAAAGCTTTTCGCCACAGGTATTTCTTTCCTAACAAATATTATCTGTTTATACTAATGATATTCTTAGGAATTTTCTTTCATTTACAGTTACAGTACAGATTAAACATATTGAATACTTTTTTCAGGTGCAACCTGTAAAATGCCCAGAAGGTCTTGTGTTTGGGATTTCTTTGAAATGACTGAAACTACTCATGCAAAGTGTAATGTGTGCAAAAAGGAACTTGTTGCTATAGCCTACTACTTCAGGTTATTCATCTAAAACGGCAACACTGCCAAGTTTTTTTTAAAATATGAGAAACTCAAATATGTCTTACAAATTGCGAAAAAACCTCGCGTTATTGATGATAACTATTCTTCAGAAATCGATCATAAGTACACCGAAACGAGCTCGTCTTGTTGCCACTCCTGAGTCATACCCTCAATTTTAACATCATCTGATAAATTGAGAACTGGTAAAGCGTTTAAAACATCTCGTGTTTTTACTCCATGGCCAAAAGACCATATTGAAAATGTAAATATAGTTACATCATTGACTAAGTGAATCATCCACTAACAATTAGGATAAAAATTTAGGATAGAGGATAGTAAATATTTTCATAAAATAATGAAGCAAGCAGCAAAGGGGAAATATAACTTTGTTTCTTCAAAATCACTTTCTCAGGACAGGATTCCTAAATTATATAAATTCATCAGTGATCATGTAAACGAAACTATTGACAATGAGAAGATTGACCTTGATGGTTGTGCCTTTATTACTAGTATCATGCAAAGCCTCTTTTATATGGAATGAAAGCTCTCAATATATACGAGCTTTTTTTTTTAATATTCTTTGTTGTATGTATAAATGTAAAAACAACTTATCGCCCATTTCGCGACTTTTTTTTGCAAAGAGATATAAATAATAAATATAATTTAAGGAATAAAAATTTAATTAGAGAATCATTTTCTCAAACTAATTTCGGAAGTTTTTTTATTTCATTTCGAGGACCATTTTTATGGAATAATAATATTAAATACTACAAAAGACATTTTTTTAAGAACCTAAATTTACTAATTTTACTAACATGTACTGTAATGTAATGTATTTATTATTGTACTGTAACGCAATGTAATTTATTTTTTAGCAGTTCTTGGTGACAAGACCTAATGGTCTTCTTCGAGTGTCCGCGTTCTTAGTTTTGTTTATTAAATATTGTAAAAGTTTAACTCTTTTTAACGAAATTTTTGAATAAATATTGTAATAAAGAACAGAAAAAAAAAAAAAAAAAAATCTGGACTTCTTGTAATAATCTTGCTTTCCAATTTCTCACTCTTTTTTTTTTTT